CGTATGTTCACACAAAAAAGTGTACATAGATGTTCAGTCTCAAAAGGTTACCTACTGTGTGATTACACTTACATAGCATTCTCTAAATGGTAAAACTATAGAGATGGAGATTAGTAGTTGCCAGGGGCCAGGAACTGGGAAGGGAGTGTTGAAATATACATGTGAATACAAAAAGGTAACATTAAGGAGTTCTTTTGTGCTTATGGAATGGTTCTGTATCTTGATTTGGGTGGTGGTTACAAAAATTGTAACCATACATGGGGTACAATTGCATAGACACACAGGCACACATGCAGGTCAGGAAAAACAAAAACTGAGCAAGCTCTGTAGTTAAACAGTGATGTACCAATGCCAATTTTAAAATTTTAGATATTATACCCTAGCCTATAGAAGATGTCTCTATTTGGGGAAGGTGAGTCAAGAGTACACTGGACTCTACTATTTTTGCAATTTCCAATGAGTCTATAATTATTTCAAAATTTAAAAATGTGATTACACATTTTTTCTGCTTTTCTTTTACTACTTATATGGATGTTTAAAACATTCATTTGGATTATTTCTGGTATGTATGTTATGGGTTTAATAGTTTATCATTTAGTGAATAAACCTTACTTTCTTAGTGTTTTAGATTCTTCCTTTATCATATACTAATGTCCATTTATATATAATCATTTCCTACACTCTTAGTTCCAGTGATGAATTGTGCTTCAGTTTCTTCATCTGTAAAATTTACATAATAGTAGTATATATGTCATAGAGTTCATTCCTTCAAAAACTCTATTTTTGGTATCTAATCTGTGTTAGTCACTGTTCTAGTGCCTCAGGATACATGAATGGACAAAGTAGACGAAGATCAATCGTTGTCTTTCTGGAGTGTACTGTCTAGCAGGGGAGAAGGATGACTAATAATAAATACATTGTATAGTAAGTTGGAAACAGTGCTGTGAAAAAAAGAAAAAGTGGAAAACCTAGGCAATACCATTCAGGACACAGGCGTGGGCAAAGACTTCATGACTAAAACATCAAAAGCAATGGCAACAAAAGCCAAAATAGACAAACGGGATCTAATTAAACTAAAGAGCTTCTGCACAGCAAAAGAAACTTTCTTCAGAGTGAACAGGCAACCTACAGAATGGGAGAAAATTTTTGCAATCGACCCATCTGACAAAGGGCTAATATCCAGAATCTGCAAAGAACTTAAACAAATTTACAAGAAAAAAACAACCCCATCAAAAAGTGGGTGAAGGATATGAACAGACACTTCTCAAAAGAAGATGTTTATGCAACCAACAGACATATGAAAAAATGCTCATCATCACTAGTCATCAGAGAAATGCAAATTGAAACCACAATGAGACACCATCTCACACCAGCTAGAATGGCGATCATTAAAAAGTCAGGAAACAACAAATGCTGGAGAGGACGTGGAGAAATAGGAACACTTTGACATAGTTGGTGGGAGTGTAAATTAGTTAAACCATTGTGGAAGACAGGGTGGCAATTCTTCAAGGATCTAGAACGAGAAATACCATTTGACCCAGCGATCCCATTACTGGGTATATACCCAAAGGATTATAAATCATGCTACTACAAAGACACATGCACACGTATGTTTATTGCAACACTATTCACAATAGCAAGTCTTGGAACCAACCCAAATGTCCATCAATGATAGACTGGATTAAGAAACTGTGGCACATGTACACCATGCAATACTATGCGCCATAAAAATGGATGAGTTCATTCCTTTTCAGGGACATGATGAAGCTGGAAAGCATCATTCTCAGCAAAGTATCACAAGGACAGAAAACCACAAACCACATGTTCTCACTCATAGGTGGGAGTTGAACACTGAGAACACATGGATACAGGGCTGGGAACATCACACACCGGGGCCTGTCATGGGGTGGGAGGCTGGGAGAGGGATATAATTAGGGGAAATACCTAATGTAAATGATGAGTTGATGGGTGCAGCAAACCAACATGGCACATGTATAACTACGTAACAAACCTGCACGTTCTGCACATGTACCCTAGAACTTAAAGTATAATAATAATAATAATAATAATAATAATAATAAAAAGTGGAGCAGATAGGGGAGTTGGGAGATTGGGAGGTAAAATTTTAAGCAGAAAATCCGGGTAGGTCTCAAAGAGAAGGTGACAACTGTGCAAAGGCTTGAAGGAGGAAGGAAGACCATCTTGTTGAAGAATATTAACCAAGGTAACATCAAAAGAGCAATGGAGAGACATCAAAGAACTTTGATCAAATATAATTAGACTTACAATTCGATTGAATATAATTAGACTTACATTTTAAAAGGATAACTATGGTTCTGTGTTGAAAATAAACTGTAGGGTAGTAGCTAAACTTAAATGAGCTCATATAAATATTACATGTACTGCGTCTACCTACCTATCTTTATCTATCTATCTATCTATCTATCTATCTATCTATCTATCTATCTATCCACCCACCCACCCACTTACCCACCTACCTATCTATCCATCTATCATTAAATTACTCAGAACAATGCCTGGTGTGATTTAAAGGCTATTATTATCATCATTATTTTCACTGTCAAGCTTAGTGTAACCACAACTACCTTATATAAGGCAGCTATCTTTATTGTATAGATAAGTAGACAGACTCAGAAGAGTTGAAGTAACTTGTCCAAAAGTTACATAATTTGTAAACGCCAGTGCCAGGATAGGAAGTCCAGGGATCACTGTGTTTCAGATGCATGCTCATAACCATGAATAAGCTCTTTCCCTAATTCCCATTCTCAAGATGCAATATAGATGAGAAATATTAGATGCACTCTATTTCATTAACCTTAATCGAGCTACTTCCCTGATAAAGATGACCCTAACAAAGCTATTTCTTCCCTCCCAAGCAAAATATCAAGCCATCATGGGCACCAAGGTTAGGGTACAAAGCTTTTAGGCCTTTAGGATCGTGAGAGAACATCTTTGGAGAAACAAGCTTTTATTGTGTAGTATTTTTCCACATAGGTGCCAAATTGGCTCTGCCAATCTAATTGGGCACTACTCTGCTTAAATAGCAGGATTCTGTAATGACTTTAGGATCTGTAAGAATGCATACAGAATTTTTTGATTAATGGGTACATGCAAATTTACTTGGTAAAAATAGTGCCCTGTGCTATTTAATAATTTTAAAAAAGAATTCTGTAATTTTTTTTACTATAAATACCAATGTGCTTATTGTCAAGTTGCTTGTTTAGACAGATTATCTTTATTAAATCATAGTGTTGGGCACTGTAGCACGTGCCTATAACCCCAGCTACTCAGAGACTGAGGTGGTAGGATTGCTTGAGCCCAGTTCAAGACCAGCATGGGCAACACAGTGAGACTTTGTCTCAATTTAAAAAAAAAAAAAGCAAACAAACAAAAAACAAACCATAGTTGTCCAAGTCCTGTCAAGAAAGCAGCTGTTTATCAGAGATAAAGTACTTAGTTTATCAGAGAGAATATAAATAATTGTTTAAGGAGGTATTGCAAGATTGAAATGGTAAGAAGACAGGATCACGATGTATGCAGACTTTTCAGGAATGAAAGTTTGGGTCACCATCCAACCACATAGAGGACTCTGACTGCTAAGATTGTGGCTTGGGGGAGGAGGGCAGAATGGGTAGAAGAGACAAACTTAATAGCAAGCACAGCTATCTCATAGTACCATATGTGCACTTGCCTCGTATCAGTGGTATTGAATATAAAAAATCTATTTCTTCAGAATAAGAATGGTAATCTCACATTATAAATAAAATAGGTCCCAGGGATTTGGTTAACCTTATAATACATATTTTAAAAGATGGTGTTTTCTGAACAGCAGGCAGTATAGCACTATTTACACAGTAAGAGTTCAGAGTCCTTACACAGCAACGTAAGGACTTCAGTGTTTCAGGGCTTTACGCAACGTGGCTTGTTGGGACAATAGTGGACCTGAGAAGACAGGCCCCCAAGAAGGTTGGCTGGTACAAATATCCAGAGGCATGTGAGCATTTAGACATTTAGAGGCACGGGAACTAAAATGGAGAGCCTCTGGGCTGTGCTAATATTTGGTGCTAAGTAGGTTATGAAGCCTTGACTATAGGGAAATCCATCCCAGTGAAACAAGGCTCCTGCCATCAATTTGGGTCACAGATGGTAGTGTCTATACAGTGGAGTGCCAACAAATGGCAAGCGGATCAGGGCTCAGATCTGGAGGTCAAATCAAGTATACTGAGGAAAGCTGCTACTTGGTGGACATGAGTAATCCCAGAACTCACCAGAGGACACAACGTAGTCTAAGGGACATGCCAGCTCATTCACTTCATAGGATCCTCAGTAGAGTACTAAGTAATGTTGGTTGGGTTCTTGTTGGCTGAGGAATGTGATTGGACTGACTATGAAAGTACAAGGTCTTTAGTCCTGATCACTGGGCACAGTTGGGGAAGACATAGTGGTATCCTTTTGGTTACACTGGCATCACTACTTCCTGATAGTGTTTCTCATGTTCATCTGATAGACATCAAATAATTCTGCTGGGGGTGATATGATTTTACTTGGCTGGTATCAGAAGGTATGTCAAGCTATATAACAATTGGGAAGAAGTAATATAGTAACTGGAAGAAAGAACAGGCAAATGTGAGAAGTCAGGTAGTTAGAAAATATAAAATTTCCAATTACTGTTATTTTGGGGGTTTTATTTGAGATATTCCAGAATTTCCAGGATTGAAATAATTTAAAGCCAGAGAGCTAGCAGTCTTCCCCATATTGCGTATCTTAAAGAGTAATATTGGGATTTACAGACTTTTTTACTTAGTGAATTTACTGACGGTGGTCTGAACACACATGATTAAAAAGCTCAGAAAAGGCATGGCAATAGTTCTGTCTTCCACATTTCTGGATACATCAACCTTCAACTGCTATGGTTTACTAATCTTTAATTTTAAAGAATATTATGTACTTAAGTAAAGATAAATTCTGACAAATTGGGATAGTTTGCATCAGTAAGAAAGTTTATTGAAACTCGTTAGTAAATGAGAACAGAAAGTTGTTTTTCTTTCCATTAACACTTTCTGGTAAAGTGAAAAGAAGAAAATACAGAAACCACAAAACACCTTGTAGACACCTTATTTTCAGGGAGTGAACCTGTTTCCATAGACCATTAGGACAGAAGTGTCTTCTTGGAGACTTTGTTTTCCGTGCATCTGTATATAATGGTCTGTGTGAAGGGAGGACTTTCCTCTTGATGCAGCTCAATAGTAGTGTTTCTTGGTTTCTGATTCAACCATAGATGAAAGGACTCTACCGTCGGGTGCCACCTCTTCAATAATTGTCTTGATTACCCTGGTTTTGTTAGTATCTGAGTGAATGATGAAAAAAAAAATTACAGTCTGTAGGGATCCTTAGCAATTAACAAGCAAATACTGTAAAAAGAAGGAAATTTCAACTTTACATTGCTAAGTCCAAAAAAAAAAAATGCTTAAGGTATAACATTTTGATCATGCCATTTTTCACAGTTGGTGTTAAGAGTAGTTTGTGAACAAATGCAAAGGGAACCGTCTCTAAGATTTTTAATTTTTTAAAAACAACTCTATAGAGCTTAAAGCGCAAAAAAACCATTACAGGAAGTTAAAACTAATTCTGATTACCCCAGCTAGTTTCTGCTGACCTTGGTCCCTTAGATGAAGACTCGCCCACGGACCCAGAAGAGGAGGACTTGTGGCCTCCGCCGGAGCTGCCGCCGCCGAAGCCGCCGCCCGAGCTGCCGCCGCCACCGGAACTGCCTCCGTGGCCGCCGCCGGAACTTCCTCCGTGGCCGCCGCCGGAGCTTCCGCCCCCGTAGCCGCCGCCGGAGCTTCCGCCGCCGGAGCTTCCGCCTCCGTAGCCGCCGCCGGAACTACCACTGTGGCCGCCGCCGTAACCGCCGCCGGAGCTTCCTCCTCCGTAACCGCCGCCGGAGCTTCCTCCTCCGTAGCCGCCGCCGTAACTTCCGCCGCCGCGTCCACCGCCTCCGGAACTAAACGGGGTGAGGTCACATTCGGTTATCTCTAACGTTGGAAAACGGTGGGTAGCTTTCCAGTTGCCGTTAATTTAGAAAATAAGCAAAACATGTCTTGAGAAAATAAAACCCTGCCAGATATATATTTTAAAACCCTGCCAGGTGTGTATTTTAAAACCCATCCTTTGAAAACACTTTTGTGTACACAGAACTCTTAAGAATCATTTTGGGCCATATTCATGAGAAAGTGAGATTGCGGTTGCGTACTCCTTTTTCTGTACCCTACCCCCTCTCTTCCCTTCCTCTTACTCTCTGGCATCTTCTTGGGGTTTAGATAAGCCTTGCTATCTGGAATATTGAATAAAAGAAACTGCGATAACTTTTCATTTTAAAATTTACCTTCCCTCTCCTTCTAGCAGACTGCGGTAGGTTTGAATTTCATTCTCCAGTCGGATCTTAATATCCAGGAGTTGCTGGTAGTCAGTATTCTGGCACTCGGTTTCAGCTCGAATCTGTTGCAGCTGTTCTTCCAGAGCGGAGATCTGGGCCTGAATCTGTGAGAGCTGCACACAGTAGCGACCTTCTGTTTCTGCCAAGGAGGCTTCCAGGGATTGTTTCTGAAACGAATATTTTTGTGGCTTAGCGACTTCCTTGTTCAATTGAGTATAGTGACACTTACTTAATTGTTTAGTAAAGCCTTATATAGAAGAATAAGAAAATGAACAGAATTTGTTTTATGTTTAATGGCACCATTTCAGTTTCAGCACTTTTAGACCAATGCCAGTAGTACTTTTCCTCCTTTAACATAGAGCTTTACTTTTTCTCTTTCTTACCTCCAACTCTGCATTTTTCTGTTGCATTGCATATTCTTAGGTGAGCATGAAACTTTGTATGATAAAATTGAAATCATTTCGTGAGAGTTAACATACCAGGGCCAGTTGGGACTGTAGTTCTATCTCCAGAGCTTGTACAGTACGTCTCAATTCAGTAATCTCGGATTTATGGCTGGACATCTGTTCAATGTTACTATCAATTTCTGTAGTCAGTTCCTTGCTCTAGAGTATTAAAAACAGGGAAAAAGATGAGGAAATTCTGAAATGATAAAACCACCATGAGTTTCACTATAAAGGAAGATTAATTTACCTTTTCGTTGAACCAGGCTTCAGCATCTTTGCGGTTTTGTTCAGCAAGTTGTTCATATTGGCTTCTCATGTTATTCAGAAGTTGAGTCAGATCAACACCTGGGGCAGCATTCATTTCCACATTCACATCACCAGTGGACACATTTCGAAGGTCTTTCATTTCCTGTTTGAGGAACAGAAAGATTTAATGGCTACACGAGGACCATAATGAACTCTCTTTGGCTGGGAAAAGTGTAACTTTTGTGTCACCTCCTCGTGGTTCTTCTTCAAATAGGCCAGCTCTTCAGTCAGGCTCTCAATCTGCATCTCCAGGTCAGCCTTGGTCAGGGTCAGCTCATCCAGCACCCTACGCAGTCCGTTGATGTCAGCCTCCACGCTCTGGCGCAGAGCTACCTCATTCTCATACCTGAAACAAGCATGATATCAATACTGGATATAACTTATATAGGGGAGATGTATCTGGGCAGACACTGTTAAAAAGCAAATACATAGTTGATCTCATGTCATGGCAGTATTTGTCATGTACAGTTCACTTAGGAGTAATAGTGGTTTAATGGAAAAAAGCTTAACAGTTACTTTAAAATGCATTTTCTTCCTTTAATATTGCCAAAAATGTAATACTGACATGGAAAATTTCTCAGATAACTCCAATACTATTTTTTTTGGGTGAATTCAGGAAAATGTAAATGCTATTGTGGGCATCCCAAGGCAGGTTAAAAACGACTGATGTATTCGTTGTGATAGTATTATACAACGATCGCTTAACTTACTTCAGCCTGAAGTCGTCAGCTGCCAGCCTGGCATTGTCTATCTGAAGCAGGATATTGGCGTTATCAGTTGTTAGGTTGAGGATCTGGAGGGAGAGGCACGGTTACTTAAGAAAAGGTCAGATGCAGATACGGCTTTTGTAGTGGCGTAGATGAACTCTGCACATTTATGTTGTTCTCTTACAAAATCTTTTATTTTAAATATGAGATATTGCAGGCTTACCCATATACTTAGCTTTGAATTATTTGTTCTCTTGGAATTTCTCCAGTCTTGTATTTCTGTACACAAATCATTCCTTTCTGAAAACTAACTGGAATTATATAGATGTATTCCTGCAAGTGTGCCCTCCTCTTTTAGACTATGTGATTTCCATGTATTTCAGCCATGCTTTGGCTGACTCACACCTGCATTTGTTTAACTCATGATAAATACTAATAAATAAGTATGCTCTGAACTGGTACACAATGGGTACAATTCAGAAATTCCTTAGAGGTAAGCAGTATCCCACTTTCATACTAGAAAATTCATTTTTCTCACCATGTTGGTACTGAATATGGCTTGTTATCAGTCTGAATAACATTTTGTTCTGATTCATTTCATGATTTCTTTTTCAGTTTCTACATTTGTAAATGACTTAGCATATTTTAGCTGTGGACTCATTGTATGCTCATTAAAACCTCAAAAGTTCTTAGTAATCTGCCATCCTCTTAAGACAAGCAGCACACATGCTGGATGAAGAATGTCACGACCATACTTTCGCAGATGTTTATCTTTGATGAGACTGGGTTATTTTTGAAGCAAGAAAGTAACATAGGTAAACATAGTAAACAGCCACATTGTGCTTAATTTCAGATTCATCTGTCTGGATTTCATGGACAAGATACTTAAAGCTGGATTTAAAAATACCTCTTACCTGATTTTTAAGGTCATCGATGGTTTTGTAGTATTTGCTGTAGTCACGAGGCTGCCCCTGGTGTGAGTTGCCATGCTTTTCATACCACTCCTTGATTTTGCCTTCCAGCTCATAGTTTGATTCTTCCAGAGCCCGAACTTTGTCCAAGTAGGAAGCCAGGCGGTCATTCAGATTCTGCATGGTTACTTTTTCATTTCCAGAGAGAAGGCCACCATCTCCTCCAAATCCACCACCAAAGCCTCCTCCAAAGCCACCTCCACCAAAGCTGCCCCCACCGAAGCTGCCACCTCCAAAGCTACCCCCTCCAAAGCTGCCTCCATAACCCCCACCAAAGCTGCTACTTCCATAGCTTCCACCAAAGCTACCTCCACCAAAACCTAATCCTCCATAGCCACCTGATGAGCCCCCAAAGCAGCCCCCACCAGAGCTCCCACGGCTAAAAGAGCCACCACTAAACCCCCCTGAGCTAAATCCTCCACCAAGGGAGCCTTTGCTGCTCGAAATTCTTAGGGATGATCCTCCTCCTCCTCCTCCTCCACCTCCTCCACTGCGGGAGGAAGAGTAGTGCTTGCTTGAGCTGTATCGAACAGACATGGTGATGCTGTTTAGCCCAGGGAGTGCCTGCTACCAAGGACAGTGACAAGCCTTTATGTATATACTGATCGGGTGTGTCCACATGTGTTAGAGTTTGCTTACTTGCATGGTTTTCTTTTTGCCTACTTAGCATCTTTGGCTTATGATTGCATAAATTATCTTCAGTAATAACCAATCCCAATATGTACAATTTTGAATTTGCCCTAAGAATAAACAGGAGGTTTGCTATGTTGAAATTGAAAATGGGTGGAGTTCAGATGAGCATGTTTTATTATGCTTTTCACCTGTTGAAGAACATTGAGCAACTGTTAAGATCCATTTTTCTCAGCACTAATTCAGGTTGCATAGAATGTTTGCAAAGTTTGGGGAAAAAAAGAGTTTCAGCTACAAAATTATAGTTAAAATAAGATTTTTCAAATTCATGTTTTAAACAGTTTTAATTGGAACAACAAATAGCATAAAGTCTGGCAGAATCATGCTCTAATAAGGTTCTTGTAGACAACTGTAGGGAATCAAAAAGAAAAAAATTCTAAAAATTTAACTAGCATCAATAGTTGCCATATATAAAACATTAAAACCATAAAAACCACAATTTAGGAGATTGTGTTTGTAGGGGATCTTTTAATTTATTTGGCAAATGAGAGTATATTGATATTTTGCCTAGGAAAGTGGAAGTAATGATTTTAGAATTTTCTAATTAATGATGACATTATTTTTAACATTAAAAAATCTGAAATCATGAAGTTATGCTGGATTATTTTGCCTTTTAAATTCATCATAGTTAAGGTTTCTATGAAGACCATAATAATGCAGAAAATCTGCATTATTTTCTTAGCATGAAATATGAAGAACTAACTTGTAGTACTTTACACTAAGTTCTGGTTGAATAAAAGGAAAATTTGGATATGTTATGATTGCAAGTAAAAATTTGCTTGCAGAAATGTAAATCCATATTAGAGAATGGTACTTGCACCAAATATTATGAACTAGATTGTGCACATGTGTTCCCAAGCTAAGTTCAGTGTCTCAACAAAAACAACACATTTTCTTGGATATACTGTGTACAGAATTTGGTATAACAGTTTGGTGAAGTAAATTGAGATTTTGGTGCATTGTGTAAGATTATATCTCCTCATAGGCTATGACATTGCTGTTGTTTGGATGTATATATTCATACATATTTTACAATTACATAGTGCTGTTTGTGATACTATGATTTAAAAATTTCTAGAACAAGCTGTTGAGATAGGAATGGTGGTTATTATTATTTCTTTTCTTTCTTTCTTTCTTTCTTTTTTTTTTTTGAGACAGAGTCTTGCTCTGTCGCCCAGGCTGGAGTGCAGTGGCACAATCACAGCTCACTGCAAGCTCTGCCTCCCAGGTTCATGCCATTCTCCTGCCTCAGCCCTCTCGAGTAGCTGGGGCTACAGGTGCCCTTCACCAGGCCTGGCTAATTTTTTGTATTTTTAGTAGAGACAGGGTTTCACCGTGTTAGCCAGGATGGTCTCGATCTCCTGACCTTGTGATCCGCCTGCCTTCGCCTCCCAAAGTGCTGGGATTGTAGGCAATAGTTATTATTATTTCTAATTTATAGAAGAGGAAGTTGAAGTTGAGAGGTTGTGATTTTTCCACAAGACATGGAACATGTGGTTAAACTGCAGTTAGAAGCTTGGTCTTTTAACTCCTTGGTTCTTTCCTACTTTACCAATGTGTATGTATATTATCTGCTCCGGTGGATTTGGTCTAATGGAACTGAATGACTCTAATTCTCACCATAAACTTCTCCAAATGGGGAAAAAGAGCAAAACAAAAAGAACTTAGAATCATGAAAATACTGAAAGGGTAGTGAGTTGGCACACGCTCTGCCTTTAGTAATTGTTTTTTCAAATTAAGTTTATAGCTGCACATTTTGGTTTATGAAAGCTACAGAAATAGTTTCTGCAGGGAAGGGAAACGTGGTTGGGAGCATTAATCAAATGTTATTGTTAAAGTGGAGGTTACTACCCAGCAAATCGCAACTCTTCCAACTTGTTAGCACATGCAAGTGGGGCAGTAGTTAAAAGAAAAACTGAAACCCAACCATGGGAATTGATTCTTGATGAAGATAACCTACAGTTAAAGAAGGCTATGATAAATCAGGATAGAAAAAGAAAAAAAGATTCCAATAACTTCAGAGAGGATGTTGAAACCTCGATATTAATGAAACCTTTTTGGAAAGAAGCATTTTAATTAAAGAGAGATTTTGATTGATTTTACCTATAATTAGCACAAGTTTTGGATCTTAGAATTACCAATTTTGTTTTAGTATTAGCCTATAATGTCTCCCTCCAGTGGAAAATATAAAAATTCCATCTCCTTTCAGTTAATTAACAAGTGATATGAAGAGATCTCTGTTACAATCATATTAAACCAAAGAATATGTGAAAGGGAGTCTTTGCATAAAAGTACATGAGAACAAATACAGGTATGGAGGGCCTTCTAATACTATAACATTTAATTTAAGCTACCTTTACTGTTATTACCAAAGATTACTTATTAACTTGTATACTGTAGACATTGATTTGTCTTTATTCACGCTGTCATTTGTTGAAATCAGCCGTTGGCATGAGTAAAATTAAGAGGTGCCACATACTAATTTTACAGCTAAATTGGATGAACATTTATGATTCTAGTCTTGGCACCATTTACACTTGATTGCTATAATCCACTGTAACTGTATTTTCATTGTGCTCAATTTTTATTGTGTCTCTATGTAAAGCACATTGGTAGGTATTTAGAAGAAAAGTGAATGAGATACAGCTCCCATCCTTAAGGATCTCACCATAGTTATAGTCTAATTGAGAAGACATGACATATACCATCAGCTTAAGCACTGTATGCTATGTAAATGGAAAATGATGGTGGGGCTTGGATGTGTAGGGGGAAGGAGTTAACATTTCCTGAACATCTGCTATGATCTAGATGGTTTACTTTTCTTTAATCCTCCCCTAGATCCTCTAAGATAGGTATTATTACCTCATCTAATAGCTAAAAATCTAAACCTTAAAACGTTTTAGAAATTTGCCAGATTATGTATTTGTTTATTTGTATATCAGCAGTGTCTGTGTGATGACACACAGCCTGGTTTTGAATCAAGAGATACAGTTACAAAAGTGCTAGTTTTCATAACACCAGACTGGCACTCTTAAGACCAATGAGCAAGGGGTCATGTTGGAATGGGGCCACCTGACAGAGTTTCATGGTGCAGTTGAAATTTAAGCTGAATCTTGTAAGGATGAGTAGGACTTTTCATGTGTGCAACAGCAGAGAGAAGACTGTTCTGGGAAGTCGGGACTGTGAAAATGCCAAGCAGGTGAAGACACTGAGTGACCAGTTTGGCTGGAGTAGATCATCCATATATATTAATTTATTCATTCCTTCAGCAGGTTTTATTGAGCACCTGCAATATGGCTTGGGGAATGCATAGGTGACCAAGATACAGTTCCTGCCCTTCAAGGAGTTTACAGTCCACTTGGAGAGGCAAACAAACATACCCATGAATCAGAGATTATAATATAGGGCAATCTGGGCTACATTTGAGCAATGTTCAGGGTTCGGAGGAATTGCAGAGAGAGGTTCTAACAGTCTGGTGAATGTGGTTTTTTTTGTTGTGTGTGTGTGTGTATGTGTGGTGTGAGTGCACGATGAAAGAATAGTGAAGTAAAGTTTGGGATTGAAGATGAGTTTTGGTTTAAGACGTGAATTTGAGGTAATACCAGGGTATTCATGTAAACATGTCTTTAAGCAGTTATGGGACTGCAGTTAGGGAGAGTGTTCAGAATAGCAGACTTTGGGGTTGGTTAGGATCCCTAAGGGAAGGAGTTTAGAGAGAAATGTACAGAAGGTCTAATTCTGAACTTTTGGAATCACTTTAGGGGCTGGGAAGAAGAAGTAGAGCTAGAGAATAATCCTGAAAAGAAGGACATCTAGGACCAGGCAAAGGGGGAAAGAGGATCATTGAAGCCAAGGGAGAAGAGAACGTGGGTGAGGTGGTCACCCGAGAGGTCAGTGAAAAGGTGGATTGAGGAAAGCAGTTTGGAACCATTGGCATCCTTCCAGAGGACAGTTTAATTGAGTAGTGGTGGGGCAATTCATGGTGCATACCCAATATTGGAATTGATGACTTTGCTTATGGTATTTTGTTTTCATGTTGTCCAGTTTATCAATTTCTTTAATTGCTTCTGAACTTATTGAGTCGTGGTTATGACGGGTATAGGTGCTATTCACATGGGGTTAATTTGGCTGGAGCTCTGGAAGCATGTTTTGGATTCAAATTTGTTATCAGTTTGACTTGTCTCACTGTTAGGATTTGGATCCTTTTTATTTCTTCTTTATTTTGCTTCAAGTAAAATCCTGTTTTGAAGTTTCTAGCTGAAAATTCTATTTGCAAGTTTCCTTTTCTGATTGAGATATAATACATATAATTGAGATATAATACATAGTTTAGGTAGTTGCAGAAGGACAAATCTGGTAATGCAGGTTGTATCTCAAGATGGTAAGGTTGATCTAAATATTTAGAGTTTTCTGTTGTTTATCACAAAGTTTAAGAGTCAGGCATTTTCTTTTTGACTGTTCTGTGACTGTGCAAATTGTTTAATATGCTTTTGTGATTACTACCCACAGTCGAAACAGTGGAAAATTGTATCATTATTTGATAGATTTGGTACCCTCTTCTCAGATAGCTAATTGTCGGACAACTAAGATATCAATTGATAAAGTTCATGTCTTCTCATTAGTAAACTTCTAAAATTCAGAGATCCTAAATCTACAGACATTCCTATGTCAATTTTTCTGAAACTTCTGGGACTCTACTGTGATGGAAGCCACAAAAATACGGAAACTGCTTGAAGGCTGTTGAGGGTAGTGTAGCAGACTGAGTGGGTGGGCTCTGGCGTCATACTGCTGGGGTTACAATCCAGGCTTCACCATTTATTGTGAGGTTTCATCTCAGTGTCCTCTCTAAAGTAGAGATTATAATTTTTCTTACTTTATGGAGTTGTAGCAGGAGTCAAATGAGTTATTAAATATAAAGCATTTAGAACAATGATTTGCATGCATAGAATAAGCACTTAATGAATATATTTTTGTTGCTATTACTGTTTTGTGATCTCTGTTTCCCATAGGTTAACCCACTGTCCAACGCACAGGATGCCTTCAAAATAGGAATGAATGAAAGGATAGGGTGAGAGGTTGGAAAATGGCTTGTGAGGGAGGAGAAAATGGCTGGAGAGGAAAGTAGGGTGGGGAAAAGGTGTTCAGTTTGATAACTTTTGCGACAAACCGTGCCATCTGTTTTTCTTTGAGTGACACTTCCTTTCACTTTAAACTTCATTTCTTTATCTCCTACATCCACCAAGGCACTAATTTTGTCACCTTCTCTTTGTCATGGCTGATGTATTCGTTTCTTTCTGTGTAGCCCCACTGTAACTGCCCTAATCTGGGCTTTCACCACTTCTCTCGAAGATTACTTCACCAGCTTCTGAAGTGGTTTTCTTGACTCAGCACTGTCAATTAAGATCTGTTCACTGCGGCAAGATTGATGTTCTCGAAACAGTATTGTCATCACTTCATCAACATACTCAGATCTCTTGTGGACGGATTAAGTCTTCTCCATAACCTTGTCCTACTCTGTCTGTCCAACCTCATGCTCCCTGCGGTGAGTCAGGGTGGGGAGTGGAAGGTGTGCTGCATTTTCTTCATAAAGTAATTATGTGGCCCTGGGCAAGACACTCAGCTTTCTGTGTCTCAGTTTACTACCCTATAAAATATGGATAGTAATATTAAATATTAAAATATGGATTATAGTCCATGATTCAGTGAAAAAATGTGTGTTAGCATCTCCTTTAAAAATCCTTTAATTACTTAATCCTTTAAGCAGGCCTTTCTTACTCTTGGCTAATATACTATGCTTTGTTTCATTTTAAGGCCTGTGTTTGTTGCTCTTGGCGTAGAATGCCCATCTTCAACTTTGCTGTTTATTCAAGTTATTCTACCTCAACTCCAAACTGACTTAAATGCCATCTCCTTCACGAGACTTCTCACCATTAGTCTCTGGTTCATGGCTGTCTCTTTCTTCTCATTTCCTATGTTGAACAACTTGGTGTTTTATAATTTGTTATACTATTCTGGCCTCTTTCTTAGTGTTCCCAATGCGATACAACGTTTAAGTTCCTTTAGAGAAGGGAGGGTGCCTCTGCTCTTGCTGCACCCAGTACTCATTGTTCTCTGAATGTTTTCGTATTGCTTCAGTGCCTTTCCCCACTTTCTTTGCCTTTA